CCAATGAACAGCAGTGAACAAAGAAAGCATAACTTGAGTGACAGCAATAGCTGGAAACTAAGTTCTGAATTATTGGCACGTATTATGGGTGTTCTGTGATGGTAGAAAAAGATCCCTAGAACAACAGCACATGTACATGTGCCCAGCAGTGAGGTTGCTGTCAAACAAATGCCCAAAGGCTCATGGTAGGACAGAAACTCTGTCTTCTTTGGAACACAGTGGTCACGCTGGGGGTTTGACCAAAAATCCTCTGGACAACTGGTGCATTCCAAGGAGTCTGGCAAAAGGAGAAAGATGAAGAAAGCGGAAGATGGAGAACTGCATATTATATTTAATGAAAATGAAATTCAATATGTCATGCTGATAGATTAAAAAAAAAAAAAACGAAATAAAAGACTTACTGCCTTTGTTATTGATTTTTCCCTCAGAACAAGGGATGCAGTCAAAACAGCATTTAGGTTCCCCCTTCCTTCTCACCATGTGGGTACCAGGTGGACAGCTCTCACTGCATACCGATTGAACTGGCTGTTGCACAAAAATAAATATTTCCTAGCAGAATGACATTAACTGTAAATGTGACAAAAGGTAAAGTCTGAAAAGCCATGTGTAACCTTTTTGGAATTAAAGTTCCAGAAGATTTTGTCTTCATCAAGTAGGATTTCTTCACCTTTGAAAGCTGACCCCTTAACCTCACCCACATTATGAACTTCAGTGCTTCCATCAGGGAGCCACAACCAGTTCATCACATCGTAAATTGGCACAACATCACCATTTTTATCAAATGACACTTGATCACCGAATGGAGTGGTGAAGTTTACCCTTTCCAAGTAATAAAGAAGCTGTTAAAAAGTAATATATAAGAAATTAATTTCACAGTGCAGGCAGTGGCACCCACTATCCAATAACCAAATTAAATCTAACGCTTACTATACCTGTACATATTAAAAGGCATTAAAATCGAGTTCTAAATTAAACAGGAACATCTCCAATTGTGCCATATATATGCATACTAGTTAATGTGCTCTAATATAAATATATTAAACACTACTTTTCCTTAATATGAAAAAATCATTTAGCTCTCTTCAGCTCATTTCAACTTATTGAATTGTTGTTGTTTTCTTATCCAATAGGATAAATTTTGTTCTGAAAGTAATTATAGAATAAATGATTTATTCAGATGAAGATAAATTAATAACGCACCTCCCATGGCTCAAGTGATTGCAGAGTGGCACAGCTGTGCCCACTGAAAGGCCCTCTTCCTGGCTTGCACCGCAGCATGTCATCAAGGGAATATGCCAGGGCATAAACAGCTTTATACACATTATACTCAGGCCGGAGGTTGGAAATGTCCAAGAACTCAGTATCAAAATTTTCTAGATCTTCCTGTCCAGTGCATAGTGCACCTCCACCTTCCAGCCAACCTGCTGGAGCTGGAGCAAATCTACACTGAAATGTAAATTCCCAAAACTCATTCACCTGAAACACATTATTGGAAAATGTTTATTTTGTGTTTTGTTTTAATATAGACAAGAAAAATTTGTTGCAGCTAGTAAATTTCAAACTTTCACCATGCTATTTCCATAGTTAGTATTGTGATGTAGGTCAGGACGTATTTTTAATAGGAATTCCCTGAGCCCTGGTATTTCTCCTCGACGAATAGCAATGCCCAATGTACCACCCAGGTATGGCATGAACTTAGTTGTTTGAAGCACAGCAGCTGTTGCTGTCCAACCTTCACTGGCCAACCACTGTAGACCTGTTACATTCTGCTTGGCTACCTGTGCATTTTATTTAACCAAATGTAAAAAAGTGATCATTTAACAACTACTTTGGTGACATTTTCATGTTACTGAAGCATTTTGTCATGTTAAAATGTATTTTATATCATTTGTTTTCTGCATTCATTCAAATAAAAATTTAATACATCGTTTACACTGAGTAGAAATGCATAGTTTTATACCAAGAAACAATCAAATTCTTTTAAAACTGCACCTCTTCTATAAGGTTTATCATGTGACTCTCATGTACAAATGCAATGACCACACGAGCTGTTGATTTTTTCATCACATTCACAATCCTCCTGAGTTCATCAGTGTCTTTGTCCCAAGGTAAAACCTCAATGTAGGCAAGGCAACCTTCTCCAGACACACTCAGCTCAGATTGTAAGGATCTGGCTGCATGAAGTCCATAATCATCATCAGTGATGAGCAGACCTGCCCAAGTCCAGCCAAAATATTTTAGAATCTGAATCATTGCACGTACCTAAGTGAGAACAGATTAAAACATGAGTGCTGCTCATCAGCTGCTGTTGACTTTTTGTATTTGTCCAGATTGATTTTTAACCTGGAAAGCATCACTTGGGATCGTCCTAAAGAAGGATGGATACTTTTGACGGTCACTCAAACAGGAACATGTGGCAAAATAACTCACCTGTGAAAAACAGAAAATATGTTGTACATTATTTTCACATTAAATTTACAATTACAGGATTATAAACAAAAATGACATATTATGGTTAAACTGATAACTTACCATGGGTACTCTGTACAAACCTAAGATGCTGGAGATAGCAATAGAACGTGTAGAGGAAGAATCACCCACAATCCCTACAACTGGAGGATTTCCAACACATGTACTGTGTAATATAATCTGTTCCTCTTGACCACTGACTAATGAAAATGCTCCACGGAATCCAATTCCAAGTTCAACGCAATTATCATAAAGGGTGTATCCCAACGTCACATTAGGTAGCAAGCTGGAGTTGTTGTTGATCTCATCAATTGCAAAAGCCATGGTTTGTGCTTGCCTAAACCCCTGAACATAGAAACTAATTTAAAAAAAAAAACAATTAAGGAAACTGAATAACAATAATTAAAGGGATATTTTAATGAAAAAATAACCAAGAAGCTTCATTCAACATCCATTTTTCTTAGCTTTGCTAATCAGCAAAGTATATTTATTTTAGATATGACAGTTACATTCATACTAGCATTAAGTTTGTCCCGTTTCTCTCTTTTTTCTGTTGTTTCCTTATCATATTTACCCGTGGCAAGAAGGTTGTTGTGGCTGTGAGGTAAAAGACAGGTCAGGAATGCTTGAGAAAAAGTGGACTGGAAACAGTCCACCCAGGATGACATCTCCACTCTTCTGCATTCTGTTTAGATTAAATTGTCCCTGAAGCTGACACGAAGAGGGAAACAGAGAAGAGGACATAGCATAAGAAAAGTAGGAATACAGCAAAATGGACAAGGACAAATTGCTTAGTAAAAATGAGCTCATGACAGCTTTCAGATTTTCTGACCCTGATCATTTCATTTTATTGCTTTGCCATTCCCTTTTATTTACATGCTGTGTTGATGAATCTTGGACACCACCCTTCAGCAAAAAAACAAGGAGAATGGGCAGGGCTTAAAATACACCTCATCAGATATTGCTTTTGTATCCAGGCATATTAAGGTAACACTGTGAGTATATAACTTATCAAGATGACCTCAAGCTCACAAAAACAACATATTTTTGTCTATCTTTTAAGTTTGGTTGCATATTATTGTATTTTTCAACAGTTATAATAGAATAATGAATGTTCTTGCATTCTTCTTCAGTTTCAACAGGCAATGTTAAAAAAAATTCCAGCCCAAATTTGAATTGTCTTTTACTGTAAAACTGTCATTATCTGAATATTTTTGGTGTGTTTTTAATCATTATTAATATTTTTAATATCACACTAAATGGACTTCAGTGTTAAATTTGAAATGAACCAGTAATTGTATGAAGGCTTATGTACACCATTGAGCCCTGCTCTCAATAACACACATAGATGTAGCAAACATTTTAGCGCCATCTTCTGCCAATAGGGAATGTAACGTCACTAGGTTGATTGGTTGGTTGTGGTCAATAGACATTAGTTTATTTTAGCTAACCAGTAACCTGTCAGCTGTAATGTTCATATACTGTCCTCACTAAAGTTTGCTGCAGGCAACGTAATTTCAGCTATACAGCTAGCTTAACAATCTTTATTGCCAGCACTTCATCCTCCAAGAAACAGGCCGCTTGTTGTGTTTGGCAGGATTTAATGATGAAAATAAATTCTCTCTCTCTCTTTTTTGTAAAACTGTACAAAGAAATGGAATACAAAATACACAATGAAGACATGTTCCATTACACTGGGAGAATAACATTGCTCTAGTGAAAAACACACAACCACAGATAAAGCATCTGCTGACAAAATACAAGCATCTACCTGCCTCCATATGATTTAACTCAAAACAGTGTCAAAACTTACTAATACAGATTAAATGTATAGGAATTTACGGATGAAGCTGATATTGTGGACTTTAACACGAGGATTGCAGAGATTGCCATCAGATTACAAATGCTGTCACTGCAGCAGCTAAAGAGCACACTACTTCCTGTATACCACTTCCTCTACAAAAAAGACATTCTGCTTAGTTACCACTAGGTGGTAGTAACACTTCTTAAACAACTATAATATGTCCGTTCCATGACAGTTCAGTTTTGTAAAGCACTTTATAAATCAGGAGGAGAGGCATTTTGAGTCAGGTGACAGTGGTTTACCGAGCAGACAAGCTGTAGTCAGAAATTTTTTTTTTTCCATTCGGTCTCCAAAAAGTGTGGCATCTCTTTCATGGAATCTCCTATTTTTCATGTAGACTTGCTGATGGGATTCCTGATTGTGCTTCTGTAAGAAAGTTATGTTTGTGGTTTGATTCACATGTAATAATCTGTTATGTTGTTAACTCTTAGGATGTGATTGAGAAGAGGGAAACTATTTTATTGCACAAAATAGCACTGATTGCATCAGCTGATTGCGCCACTTGGTATAATCAGCCAAACACGGAAAAATAAGAGTTTCTGACTCCAGCTTGTCAGTCCAGTGAATCACCTGTCACCTGACTCAAGCAGACTCTCCTCCACTACACTCAGTCCTCATTTCTAAAGTGGTTTACAAACTAGAACATTATAGCCAACAGCTGGATTTTGTTTCAGTGCAGCTAGCCAAACAGCTAGCCAAACAACAAAGAGCCAATTACTGCTAAAGACACACTGACAGTCGACAGTATATCCGTGATTTCTTACTGAGTGACAAAATGTCACAATGTGAACAGAACAGACTTTCTTCCCATCATTCTGGTGGAAGGTGGTTTTTGGTTTTATCTGTTCAAATATTATTTTAAGAACTACATGGACTCTCAGATGTTTTCTGCCCGAGTTTTATCTGGCCTCCCTGCTCTTTCAATTCAATTCAATTTTATTTATATAGCGCCAAATCACAACAACAGTCGCCTCAAGGTGCTTTATGTTACAATACAATACAATACAACTTTATTTGTATACCACGTTTAAAAGACCAGCGGTACACCAAAGTGCTTTACAATAAAAACAGGAAAATTAAGACAATAAATAAAAGACTATTAACGAAGTACCACATATGTCATCAGGTTAAGGGCACTAATTATGCAGCAATAAAAGGGAATATAAGAACAAAGTTACTAAGAACAGATATAGCTAAAAGATAAAATACATAAATAAGAAATTGAACCAAATATAAAATAGGGACACTAACTAGATGGAAAAGCTATGTTGAATAAATGAGTTTTTAAACGGGATTTAAAAGATAAAACGGAGTCTGACGCAAGGATAGCGATAGGAAGGTTGTTCCACAGATTCGGTGCAACCAGGGCAAAAAGCACGGTCACCCCTAGATTTAAGTCTAGATCTAGGGCTCGCCCAGAGACATATAGACTAAGAAGATCGACAAGATAACGAGGGGCTAAATTTTTTTATTTTATTTATTATTTATAATTTTAAAGGTGAGCAACAATATTTTAAATTCAATGCGATATTTTATGGGTAACCAATGCAACTCAATAAGAACTGGGGTGATGGAGGCATACTTTCTAGTGCCAGTCAGAAGGCGAGCCGCAGCATTCTGGACAAGCTGAAGTCTGTGAAGGAGAGCGGAGTGAAGACCAAAGTAGAGGGAATTACAATAATCCAATCTAGAAGTCACAAAAGCATGAATGAGCTTTACAAGATCTTTATGAGGGACATAGTGCTTAGCCTTAGCATTAAGGCGCAGTTGGTAAAAGCTAGATTTGATTACTGAAGACACTTCTTTGTTAAATTTGAAAGAGCTGTCCACCAGGACACCTAGGTCACTAACTGAGTCAGAGAAAGAAGTGGCAAAGGAACCAAAGGTATAAGCTGATAGGCCCCTAGGGATATGGTTGCCAAACACCACAATCTCCATTTTCTTTTCATTCAGAATAAGGGAATTGTTTGAAAGCCATTCTCTGACTTCTCTCATGCACTCGAGGTCATCATCATGTTGTTATCATCTAATTGAAAATAAATCTGTATATCATTGGCATAGAGGTGATAAGAAATGTTATATTTTTTTTCATAGATGAAGCCTAGGGGGAGCATATGTAATGAGAATAACATTGGGCCAAGCACAGAGCCTTGGGGCACACAACAGCATAAGGATGCAGTTGAGGAAGAATAAGTACCCAAGGTAACGGAGAAAGACCTGTTCAAAAGGTATGATTTGAACCAATTAGGGCTTCACCCCGAATGCCTACAGTGCATTCTAACCTTGTTAATAAAATATTATGGTCAACCATGTCAAAGGCTGAGGACAAATCCAATAAGACTAACACAGCAGAATGCCCTGAATCAGTAATTAAGAGAAGATCATTAAGGACTCTCAGGAAAGCTGTTTCAGTGCTGTGGCGTGGTTTAAAACCAGTTTGAAATTTATCACAGATGTCATGCGCATCCAGGTAAGCCTGGAGTTGCGAAAGAACTATTTTCTCTAGGATTTTGGAAAGGAACGGAAGTTTGGATATCGGCCTATAATTAACGAGATAACAATGATAAAGACACCTTTTTTTAAGAACAGGTTGCACTATAGCATGTTAAAAACAGAGGGAACATAGCCAGAAGACAATGATAAGTTCATTAAAAACAGAATACTGGGCCCAATTACATCAATGCCATCATTCACAATGCAAGACGGAAGGGGTGCATATGCAGAACTAGTAATTTTCAGTTGCTTGACAATTTGCTTAAGTGTACAGAGTGACACTGGCTCAAACTGATGAAAAGTTGAAGCACATTCTGCAGTGAGAGCAGGGCTCACCACTAGGAGCAGTGAGGATTTGAGAGATAGGATTTTATCAGTAAAGTATTTTAGAAATTGTTCACAGAGAGCTGAGGATGGGACCATCGGCATATCAGGGCAGGGATTAACCACTGAATTAAAGATTTTAAATAGCAATCAAGGGTTATGGCCATTGGTCACAATAATATAAGAGAAAAAGGCTGCTTTAGCACGTTTAGCAGTAATTTGAAACTCCAGGCGGCTAGAACGCAAAATATCAAAGGATACCTGGAAATTGTCTTTTTTCTGATTTTAGATCAATTGTGTTAATACATTATGTCAAAATGAAAACAAAACTGTAAATTCAGACACGTGGCATTGTGCTGAAAAGAATGATACCAAAGAAGGCAAAGTAAATAGTTTTTTCAAGGTGAAATGTAGAGGTAAAATCAAAAGTAGTTGAAAATGACCAATTATAACCTGGACCCCAGAGGATTAAACATTTCTTTAAAATAACAATAATAACAGTAATAATAATAGTTACTTTTCAAGTAATTAATTACTTTTAGAATCTTGTAACTCAGTTACTAACTCAGGTACTTTTTTGAAGAAGTAACTAGTAGCTAAAATTAATTACTTTTTCAAAGTAACTTGCCCAACACTGCTAATAACACACAAACAACAGATTCCATAATGCATCGCTGCAGCCTCCTTCCCGAACGCTAGGCTGCCTGGGAACATTCCCGCGTCAATCAAGTCAA